ATATCCAAGTCAATGTTTTAAGAAACGCCGCTGCAAAGGGCTAAGTTCAGGAACTGGGCAGATCTCAACTCTGCCTACAAGCAATCAGAGAATGCGTAAGCACTCATGACTATACTCCCTGCTGTATAATGACTTACGCGACTTATGGCTATGGGGGAATGGGACACATTGGAGGCGACTGCCAAGGAGTGTCATCTACCATCGCACTCGGTCCATCGAAAGTGAAAGGGACTAACTCGTGTTAGCTTGGCGCAGTCATCAGCTTGATTGAAAACGATCCCTAACCCCATCGCAGAATATCGAATGGCCACCCGTCAACTGTTGACAGAGGACCAGGCCCGAAAAAGGGAGCACGGGAGGAAGAGACAGTGTGCGAGAAATGCAAGATAGAGGGTTGTAGTTGACCCCCATCCCATTCATGCCGTACACTGCACCCACGTAAAGTCGACAAAAAAAGGGATCGCAAATAAATGGATACAAAAGAAGAAGGAGGAAAAGAAGCAAATGCAATCGATGCGCGAATAATTCAGTGAGAAAATCAAGCCCTCAGCAAAGCACTGAGATGCAAAGGTGACTCCCTGATGAGCTGCTATATCCCACCGACAGAATAGTCAACAATTACGAGTCATAGACGACCATCCAAAAGGCAAGTGTAAGAAACTGAGCGAGAATCCAGAATGAGCTGCACAGTTTAAGCCAAGAGAAAAAAGAACGACGACAAATCTAACGAATAATACCGAAGCTAGTTTCCCATATCCGCACGGGCCACTCCTGCGGCCGAAACAACTGGACTGAGACCATCTTACGATGTGCAAGAGAGGTACTATTTGATACACGATGCCGATTCAGAGAGACAAATCTGGGTGGCTCTGGAACGAGAACATCCAGCGAGTCGTCAAGCAGAGCATTGTCGCATACAAGCAGTGGTAGGAGATGCGGCGCAGGCAATCTCGACCTACAAAGCTTGCAAGAGGTTCGCCAAGGGTACAGTTACAAGGGCAAAGATTGAAAGGTGGACGCTTTGTACGAGAAGGGCGAGCACCGAAACGCAGAGAAGTTCTCCTCAGATTGGGTAAGCCCCGACCTCGGTACTCAAGGCCTTAGAGTGGTTAGAAGTGCGAAGAAGAGCGACGGTACCATTCTGGGGAAGCCAGTCTAGGCAAGGAGGAGATGGGAAAAGTACTTAGCTTCTGAACGAGGAGTTTGCGTGCAAGGACAAAAAGAAAACAGAGGCAACGGCAGGTACCGTAGCACTCTGGACCCAGGACGAGGCTCAGCGGAGGGAGGGGGCGTAAAGGGAGGGGCTTGGCTAACGATCTTTTGCATGATGTAGGATGTGTGCTGTGGTGACTTGCGCGGAAGGGTAGTGCTTTTGGTCCATTGGGAGTATTGTCGCTCCCGAAGAAGACTTCTTTGTGAGCTAAATGGACTTACAAGAGTTTATTCACCTTCACAAGTGTTCAGTAACAGAATACTTGAATATTTGGTTGTGCTTCTTGGTATCAGAGACCACGCTTAACATCTGTGATGCAGCAGTAATCACCAAACGTCGCCGGTGTTACATAGATCTAGATGGCCTCAAAAAGAGTGCGAGTTTGGCAGATAACTGGAACGTATGACAAGATGTGGGCAATGAGTTAGTTCCCAACTCAGCCACTGTATTTGTGAAAGGAATAAAAGCATTTGCGTTGTAGACGTATTTGAAGGTTAAGAAGTAAATGGTTACCCTTAGCTAGGTATTCAAGCATAGGACTGAGAAAGTGTGGAGAGAGCTGCAACTGCTTCAAAGCACGTCCGGATGGTGGCGAAGAAGGAGTAGGTCCAATTTTGCGCCCAGCTCTCCGATTCAATGAGGAACATTTAGTGGAATCGGCTTCATGTGCTATGGATAGCACTTATGATAAGGTCATGGGAAGGAGGCTTCCAGGGGATCGGCTCATGGCATGTTGAAAGAGCGCACCCCATTTCATGGAGCCCGTGGTCTTTTCTTGCAAAATTAGGCACACTTTTCTGCAATAAAATTGCCATAGCAATTTATGCAAAGGTTTCAAACTTCTCGTCCTACCTCAGTGATTTTCA